ACCCAAGGAATTCTGCAGGGAATTCTGCCCCTGGAAATGTGCCTATTTCCCTCTTTCAAAAATTCCCACTCCTTGTGCCTTGGTGGGGGATCTCCCAGCGGGTGAGTCACCCTGACGGAGCTGCCACTCTTGGCCTCAGGAGCTTGCCTAACTTGTTTTTGTCAGCAACAGATGCAAACTCCAAACTCTGGGATTTCCAGTTCAATCTACAATTATCTATTGCCTCTCTCAAATGGAGCTTGCATTGGCATGTTGCAATACCCAGTTAACTGGGAAGTGAATGACATTCTGGTGGTGACACCAGATCTCTGCAACCTGAACTCTGCAGCATAAACAAGAAGCAGAACTGAATCCTGTCTCCCGAGCATTAGTAGTTCCTGAAAAGAGCAAACGCTGAGTTGCTTTGCTTATGGTCACAAATGAATACTGTGAGGAAGTGACTGGAGGGCATTTCAGATTTCATGTTAAAGAAACAAAGCACAAATTGACTTTTCATAAAGGTCAAGTAAAAAATCGGATATCTTGAGGCTGCAAAGAATTTCTGTGTTCAGTCCTGTTTACATGGGGGGAAAAACAGGAGAAAAAACATTGTCATGTCCATCTTAACAGATGATCTGGTCTGGGACAAAGGAAAAAGGAAAAGCTCATATTTGCAAGAATGCCTGGAACTGCAAATAATATTGCGTGTAGTAATGTTCCTCGATGGAAGCTCTTATTTTGCCCTTTCCCAGCCCATTAGGACAAACCCATCCAGTTTGGTTTGTCCATAGGCTGAAGGTTCCACGTTTGCCACAGGTTTGTGCATTAGCTGGTTATCTGCTGAAATGGGTATTTAAGATAGAAAATTCACCCTTTAGGCTAAAAATACATAACATACAAGATAAAACACAGGCTGAAAGTTACAGTTAACATTCCTTTCACATGGCTTCAACTGTCCCATGTGAACTGACTGAACAGCTCTGCAGCAATTTAAAACAGAAGAAGAAACTCCCCCCAGATGTGGTGTTTTCAGCTGAACCAGTCTGAATCATTATGCACGGGGTGACTTTCAGCCTCCAGCGTGCTTTGTTCACCACTGCTGGATTCACGCTGCCGTGGTACACTGGGGTTCACCTCCTACATGGGAGATGAACATTCCAGTCTAAGGACACGGTAGTCCCTGGAAAGGGAAACAGGGCATCCCTGCAATGAAATAAGGATGATCTGGGTGATCAGAAACACACAAACCAAGCTTTTCCTGCTGCCTCCCCTACAGCCCCTCAGCCCTTTCCCTGCCGCAGATCTGGTGTGTTCACATGGAAGGTTAGTCCCTTCCCACAGATCCCAGCACATTTCACACAGGGCTCAACAAGCTCTTCAGAACAGAAGCCACTGCCCCGCAATGTTCACCTCCGTCCCTGTGTACACAAGTACTTCCTCCCAGCCCTCTTTAAATCTAGTCAGGGAGCCTGGGGTTGTGGGGGGTTTCATCTCCGCTTCTCGGTTTCACATACAAACCTTGGCTTCAAGACCTGGATACATTTCCTGCCCTTTTTTGTTGTTGTTTTTGAAATACTCATCTGAAGCCAAGTTGCTGAGTGAATCGTAAAGGGAGAGAATTCCAAGAGCGTCAGCTTCTCTGCTGTTCCCAGGGCAGGTCTAGGCCAAAATAAATCCCTGCCGTGCCAGCAGCAGTTACTTACAGTCAAACATAGGCATCTGCAGCTTCCCAGCCCCAGCCCATCTCCCACTGCCCTTAATAGATAAAGCCTCCTGAGAGACATCTCACTTTGGCTCCAACTGCACCCCTTCCCCTGTTTGCCTTGAGTCACTAAATAGGAAAGAAAACGGTGAGAAGGTAATATTCTGTCTTGGATCCAGAAAGCCTCTGCCCAGAACATATCCTGCTTCCCCACAAAGCTTTTCCATTCCCACCCTCATTTCTACTTCTTCAGAAAGGATTTGTTCCCAGTTGCAGAAATGGATGGTTTACATTGCGCCTTCCCCTCCACCACTTCTGTTCACAGGGAAAACTTGGAAGCCAAATTCAGATTCCTGCTAAGGAATTCAAGGAACAAATGGCCATTGCTTCACTGATGCAGGATTTTGGCCAGACAGGACTGAAGTCCAACATCTGGGCAGAGAAGTCTCACTAAGAGATACGTCACCAAAGTCCATCACTACACAAAAAGGATGGAAGAAGTTCATCTGAAAGGCTCAGCCACAGTAAGTAACATGTTTCAACCGCAATTTGACCAAATAAAGAAGAATGCCAACTTTAGGGATCTGTATATAATTTTCTCCAAAACGTCACAATGATTTTATGAGTTTTCACCATGTTTGCTTCATTCTTCTATCCAGTTGAGGTGAATTTGCACCAGTTACATTCACATCCATTTTACATAAGCATTTATCCCACAAATCCTGGGGACTATCGTGTTTGCAGAGAGTAAAATTCAGATGTTCCCAGGCAAAAGCCTGCAGGGGAATGTCTGAGCATTCGCTCAGACAGCAAACACAAACAATACCGACACAATTACCCTTGGGGTCATTGTCACATAATGGCATGAAACTGTCCAGAAACTAGTCTGAGATCCAAAATCTCACAAATCTGGGGGAGAAAAAGGTCTGACCATTCATACCGCATAGGCAGCAAATAAAATAAAAGAAACTGGGAATATCAGAGGGGCAAATTATTCCCATTGTTGCCCAGTCATCTTCAGTAGAGAAGGTGAGGATGTCCCACATCCTAATCTGCATGAGGTTTGCTTGTAAGGACTCAGGAAAACACAACTGTCCCATCTATCCAGAGACACTGTTTCGCCATAGTTTTATTTCAACATGTCTTCACACTCCTCTCCAAGACCAGTGATTTCCTTCCTGGAAAGAGAAGCAGATGAGTTGAACTGCTCTCAACTCCTGTTCCCTTTCCTTAGGGAAGGGCTGTCATTCAGATCACCTCTATTCTGAAACAGCACCACTTGATCTGCAACAGCCCTTTACAACGTGAAGGCATCAGGGAAAGCATCTCCTTAGCACAATCATAAAGACCTGGTACTGGGTTTGACCATTCAGCCCTAGACTGAAGCATCTACAAGAAGGCAAAGCTGCTGAGTCCTCATTCTCTCACACATACACACACACATGCACTTCTCTGCAGTTGATTCTCTCTAACCATAGCTCCTCCTTTTGCTTTCCTCTCCCCTGTGTTTATTTACCAGCACACCCAGCTCCAAACACCAGCCACTGCAGCAAATCCTCCAGTTCCCAATGGCAGTAATAGTAGAAGGGACTTTTTCATTCACTAAAGCAATTGATTAGTCTCTTCCATCCCTGGTTTTCTCCCCATGGCTGCAGTCCCCTCTCACTTCCACCAGGATCCTTTTTCCTATTCCCTCCTCTTCCCTGTTTCTGTATGAATGAGAGTGCTCATGTTCTGGCTCTCCCTGTGTTTTACAGTGTGCTGGAACATGCAGCAGGAATTTGATGGATGATCACCTGCCACAGCTTGTTTATTATAATTCAGACAATCAATTACACATCCCTAATGCTGCTTGTCCTGCTGAAAATTTACACGCTTGGCACAGACCAATGTGAAAATGGAATCTCATTTGCCAAATGTCTTTCCGTGGGTACAGCATGATGATTACAGTCTGCTTGGTTCAACAGTTGTGTGTGTCTGACAATGTCATCACTTACTGCTTGCCACAGGTCACATTGCTCTAAGACATTATTTATTGTGTTGTGCAGGGTAAGGCTTTCAGAGGACAAAGATGTTGCATAAAGCCACTATGCTCAAGACAGGCGGGTACTGTAGATCACACAGCAGGCACACAGCTTCGGCACCCATCACCTGCCTTTGTTTCTGCTGGTGTGAATCCTTGTACCTCTCCACCTTCTTTTCTTTCATAGAAGACTGCCTTGTATTAAAGGGCTGGGGAGCTCTTGCACACACAGGCAGGGCTCTGGCTCTGCTGTTCATGCAATTAAATAATTCCAGGATAGCCAGGGATTTAGTAAGGATTGCAGAAAAAAGAGGAAGGGGGGAAAGCAAAAGGAGTTTGTAAGTGCTTAGATAAAATGCTGTGCAGGTGCTGAGCCTTCTGGGTAAGGGTTAAGTGTGTTCTACTGACTAATTGAGTGGTAGGGCTCATTCTTCCATCTAGGCAGAAAGGAGGTAGAAGATCCTACAGAAAGGAGAATATAGAGTATGGACTGAGCCTATCTGAGCTTCAGATCAAATACTGGATTTGATTTGAAATAACCAGAACTTCAGGAAAAGCAGGGAGGACTTAAATGTCACATTAACTCTGTTTCTGAGCAAGTTTAAGAACACACAGGTTTCTGTAAGCATAGGGTTTAGAAATCCTGTATGTAGAACGCATCACCAACACACCCAGTGATACACTGACACATACAAACATACATAAGATGTAAAAGGAAGTTTCCTCTCCCTCAGTTGGCACTAAAAGAAGGGGGAGGAAGATACCTTTCCTTACTAGGAGCCAAGTTCCTAACACCTTCCTGTTAACTGGAGAGAAGAATACAGGAACAGATCCATTAAATCACCTTGCTGACTTAGGCTTGCCATTCACTCACACAAACGTCAGCTGCTGCCATCCACCTCTTTCTGCTCAACCCAGACAGACTGGTTTGGGGTTTGTACCTAAACTGCCTCTGCTCGGAAGCACCCACAAACTGGTCCTTCCTGGAAAACTCAGGTGGAAGTCGAGGAGCTAACTCACTGATATTCTGAATGCCAGTCCCAGCATGGAGGTGGGGAACTTTTCATTACTTCACTTACTAAAATGATTTTGAAGGATTCAGCATCTAAACGGTTAATATAAAGATCTGTGAGCACAAAAATATGAGCACAATCTGCAGAAAAGCCATGACATTTATGACATATAAAATAAACAGATTAAATAACAATTTTTTACTCCTTCAATCAGCAGGTCTAACCCTGAAGAGGGATGGCCTGCTCTTCAGAACAGTTATGTTCTCAAGGAGGAGGACAAGCACCGAGTCTCCACAGGCAGAGAGATGATGCAGTACTGATGACACTTTGGAGGATCTTATGAGCCACCCACCAGTGTTTTCTCAGGCCTGTGTGCACATGAGGTCAGAGAGAGGCATTTTAGTCTTCCTCACAGAATAAGGGCAAAAGAAAGTATTTAGTTTTCAGATGAGAGCTGTGTTCCCTGAATGAGCAGATGGATGAGGTGCAGTTGCCTATCATAGTCAAGGACTGAAGCAGATGACTTAGGAAGACCCTGTGAAGCTTTTGTACTGAATGATACCATTTATATATCCATGGGATAAGGTTCAGGCAGTCTGTGTGTAGCAGATCATGTTGGTTATTTATTCATATGTTAAAATCTCTGTCTCAGCAGCACTGTGAGAAGATCTGTTGCAATTCCCACTGAGTCAACCCAAACCATGACAAAGCACTCTCACTCTCCACACATACATGTAACGCACTCATACTCACACATACGGATTGACTGAGGTGGGTTTGCTTTTAAGTGACCTGTTTTTCAGCAGAGGATCAGTACACTTAGCACTGAGGCTACATGTGCCTCTAATTTCACAAATGACACAAGAGCACGTGAAAGGGCTCAAGTCCTTCTTACACAGCAAAAGGCTTCCTGTGCTTCTGTGAGCTCTGTATGAGTTGGCATGAAAAAAGTGTCTGCTGAGGGGGTAGGAAGGAAATTGAGCAATCAAGAGTGTAGGGAATCACTGCTACCCACAGAGGCAAATGTTATCCTGGAGCTGGCTGAAGTGAATCATATTGAACCCTCAACCTCTTTTTTTGTTTGCCTGTCTTCAGAAAGATGTATTAGTTACAATTAGGAAAAGAAGTAAACAAATATTAGCTCTTATTGCTATGAAATCCCAATTGTATCAGACAGACAGCCTGGAATAAGACCACCTCTGATGCTTTATAGGTGGAATATGAAGCTGTGCTGAAACTTCCCAAGGGAGTGCTGCATCATCCCCACAACCTGACTTGGTATTGTAGCAGGGCTGTGAGGATCAAAACAGTGTGAGCTGACTTCAGGTGCTTCAGTAAGATCTCAAGATGGACTCTGCAAAACAAGGCATGTCCTGAGACACTTCTAGTGAGGACACAGCACTTCCCAAGCCTGAGGCTAAGTGCAGACTGGCTTGAGCAACTGCAAGACAATTCACAAACAAGGCTGCTGTCTTAGGCAGCCAAGCCTGAGGACTTCTGTGCCTAGTTTTGAGGCAAGCCAAAGGAAGACACTCACCAGCTTCAGTGCTTGCAGTAGGACACACAATGGTCCTTCTGTGCCAGACTCATAATTCAGTCTGCTCTGCCTGGAACAGGGAGTACACCTTGCCTCTGTGATAGGCAGAATACCTAAAGACAAATACAACTACATAGGTCAGGGAAGGCTTGTGTACTCTCAGGGGAGAAGAGTTTTCTCCCTCTTCTCCGTCAATTACAAACCTGGGAGCTGCCATGAGACTCACTTCCAAACAGAGATGCTGCCAGAAAAATCTGTTCAGTTAAAGAACTTCCTCCTGAACAGGCAAATGACAAAACTGTTACCCTGTGAAACAGCCAAATTCTCATGTTTACAAGCAAAGTTCCTTTCCTGCTGCCCTCAACAACCTCACTGCAACTGGAGGTTTTAGTTTGCTTATTAGAGTGGAGTTACACCAGACTTTAATTCCTCTTCACTCTAAGTGGTATTTTGCTGTTCATGTGAGTCCCACTGTGGTTTACAAAACACATTCATTTTTACATTATTATTTTTATTGTACTTACTGGTAGCACAGTAGTACTAAGAAGTTCTCCATCAGCTCAGGTTTTGACTGTTAGACACTATACAATCACATGGAGGGAGACCATTATTATATCAAAGAGTTATAGTTAAAACAGACAACGGGCAGAAAACAGAGAGAGAGGCAGACAGAGTTTACTTGTCCAAGGTCAAAAGCAAAGCTGGTAATACAATCTTCCTATTCTTATTCCATTACTCAAACCACCAGGCAGAAGTGTCTTCCTAACCTCCTCTCACCAGTTCCCATCCACCCTCTAACCCCCCCCAGCTCTGCAGTGTGAAACATCCTACAAATCAGTAACACATGTGGAAAAGTCAAACGCTACCCCATGCAAAGGATATGATGAACCTGTCTGGAAAGAGTGACTCAAGACAATTATGAGACATTGCACATTGTCCTAGGACTGAAGTATAAAAATGGATGGGTTTGTTCTGCAAGGCTCATCTGGCACGCACCGAAGGCTCTCTGCTCCTACTGAAAGAGCCTCTTGTTCCCCACAGCACCCCAGCCTTGTCCCAGTCCTTTCTACATGACTGAGTGCTTTTACAGACATTAACAATATGCACACCATATATTTCTGATATAAAGATATTTGTTCCTTCTTTGTGGGCATGCTCCTCAAAGCAAATGCTTGGTGTCACTTGACTCTAAACACCCCTATCCATGCAAACAGCATCTCCTCACTGGTTGCATGAGCTACGTGGGGTCCCACTGTTTTGCCCACAGCATTCCTAGTCTTGTCTGAGTGCACTTTCGGAGCGTTAAGGCAGGAGACGTGCTGAGTCAGGCAGCTCTCCAGCTGCTCACCGGAAACACAGCTGGTATGCAGAAATAACCATGAAGGCAAGAACTTGCACTTTCATAGAGAAAACAAACCCAAAACACACTGACCACAAATAACAACAGCCTCCTGGAGCTATTGGATGAAGTCCTGCTGCATGCACATCTCATTCTGGGCCAGCGTCTGGGCTGAATACTGCCCTGCTCTTTTTAGGCTGTGTCTGGGGGACAGGACAGGAGCCAGAGCCATCTCCTCTCCTGGTTTTAGTGAGTCAAATGGGGAAACCTGAGCTCACTGCTTCACTAGGGAAGGACGGGGGAGGTTGTTGGGCAGGTGGACAGCTTAATAAGCACAACCCCATAGTGCTGCCCATCGCCTGGATTAGGTTATGGACCAATATCAAACCAGGGCTGAACAAGCTGCTGTTTCCTTGTGTCTGTGTCCATGTATCCCCAGTTGTGCAGTGGCACCTGTTCCTCTGAATGTGAGCACAAGCTGTTCCCTCGGCGCTCCAGCACATACGAGTCACGACTCCCAGATTCAGCAGCGACTTGGATAATGCCCCAACTTCTTAAAGGGCTCCAGCTCTGCTGCTGGTTCCCTCAGAAACAGCTCCAACAAAAGCCGAAGTCTGGGAGAAAGCAAAAAGCATAACACAGCAACAGAAACCAGCTGAGAGCTCACAAGGAAAAGAGGCATTGCCTTATTTAAGTAGCCTGAGGAAGAACTGCAAGGGTTTGCGGATCTTGAATGTGACCTGCACTGAGGCATCCAGTACATGACAGCATTTATCAAGGTTCCCTAAATTCCCAAAAGGCTAACAGCTTCCATGGATACGCAGAGCCCCCTCATCTGTCAGCTGGGTGAAGAGGGGGAAGGACAGGCTACTGCCTCCTGCTTTAAAAGCCAACGCAGGTAGTGCCCCCAGTTTGAGAACTTCACCAACAGGTTGCCCAGGGCTGTGGTGGAGTCACCATCCCTAAAGGCATTTAACAGACGTGTAGATGAGCCTCTTAGTGCCATGGGTTAGTAGTGGCCTTGGCAGTGCTGGGGTAACAGTTGGACTCGATGATCTTAAAGGTCTCTTCCACGCTGAACAATCCTGTGGTCCCACACCATACGCTGTAGTTGTGCTAAACCCACCAGCAACTTGGTATCAGATGTGCAAAGCCACCACTCAAGCCCTGAGCACAGTGCTCTCTTGGCCTCCAAACTGCCCCATTAAATGTCAGCCCTGACCAACCCTAATCTCATTTCATTCTCTCCAGCCACCGAGGAGAGAGTTGCCCTTTCCCTCACCATAAACCAGGCTGCTACCCAGCGGATTTCACTTCGCAGCCCCCATACCTTCATTAAGAACAGATTCATTCAGAGAGGCCCAAACTGACAGAGCAACAACTAATGTCCTGTGACAAGCCCCAGAAAGCATCACGTTAATGACCCCAGCAATCCAAAGGAAAAGGATAATTAAATGTAGGCTGGGGAGACAGGAGGCAGAAGCTAAGTTATAGTGGTCACATCTCCAAAAGGCAGATAGAAGATACCAATTTGCATAATAATCCTGCAAATAACAATGGGTGCCCAGAAATTCTCTTTAAAGCTTTAATATTAATTTAATAGGGAAAATATCTAATACAATTCCCACAGAATTTTTCAATTAAATTAATGTGATGGGCTTTACTGGATATCTTAAGCAGAGAGCATGATTAACAGGAATACTGCATCCATTACACTTAGATATGTTATAAAAACTGGCACACAGCCTTGCTGTGCAGGGAATCTTACCCTAAACTCTGGCATCCAGTTGTATTTAAAAGTCTTTTCCTGCTCAGAGATGAACTATTCCCTCTTGGGATTTTTATTCTTCCCATGGTTTGGAAGAGCAGCAATTGATCCTGAAGAATCAAAGAGAGCTAAAAAGGACTGTCCTGGGTTCAGTTTGTACAGCATCTGGGGAAACTGGGTCTGGGCTGAGAGAGGACTTCAGCATTGCTGCAATACACCTAATGTACTAACAGCAGCTACCTGCAAGAGTAATGCACCCTTCCTCAGATGAACACAAGGGAATCCTTTAGTACACAAAGCCTGGCAAGAGCGAGGAAGAATTTCAATGACACGCTGCCCATCCCAACCATAGACCCAGCAGCATAAACACAAACCCCAAAGTTCTGAGGATGGTAAAAACAGAACCTCAACGCCCAACTCATTCCTCCACAGAACAGACATAACTTACTTTCAGATGAGCTTCCCAGGTTACCCAGTCCCAGACAAGCCCTGAACTGCCAGGTTGGATGAGGCTTGGAGCAACCTGGTCTACTGGAAGGTGTCCCTGCCTGTGGCAGGTCCCTTCCAACCCGAACCATTCTATGATTCTATGACACAGAATCGTAAGTCACTATCCCATCTCTACTGATACCACAAATTCCCCTTCTCAACATCAAGTAGATTCCTGTTACCATCCATAGCCACACAACTGCACCCTGAGCAGCAGCCTGGGTGCCCACCACTTTGACCATGCTTTAATGCAATCTTGGTGAGGTGTTCCTACACATCGCTCCCTATTTCTTCCCCCAGCTTTTTCCACTAGTGCAAACCAGGAAACAACACAGAGGTGGTTCAGTTGCAGATGTGGCTGTGCATCGCATTTAGTGACTTTTAATTCAGGCAAGAACTGCAATAGTAGATTTGGCCTGTGTATGGGCAAATGAGATGGGGGCATTGAATGCAGTCCGAGTTGATTGGTCTGAAGTAGCTCTGTGGTGTGCCAGGAGAACCCTTGCTCATGTGAACTCAGGTGCCTCAGTGCCATGTTAATGAGTGAGTGTTGTCATGTAACTACATTCCAGATGTTAAAATACAGAATGCAGAGGTAGGAAGAATTCTGGTGGAAGCTCACAGTACTAGGTACGCAGTACCTACTTTTAGAAGCAGTGAACATCATACATCAGATGAGCTCAACACAGTTGTATTCCTGATCAAATGCTTTTCTACATTATACCCACACAGCAAGCTAAATTTTATCACAGAGATACCACACATACATTTCATGCTTCCTCCCACATAATCCACACAGAGATGCATTCAACAAGCTTTATAAATATTTGAATGAGAAGAGACTCCTGCAAATAAAGCAGAGCCTGGTTTTATTCTCAGCTTAACTACTACACAAGCCTGTTGTCCCTTTGAGCAACTACTAGACATAAGTTTCCTGCAGCAGTGTCTCCTCAGCTCATTCCTCATTTTGGAAACCTGGGGGCCTCACTCTTCCATTTCTTAGCCATTGCCCCTTCCTGAAGAAAGTGGGAGCCGATATGCTGTGATCAGGATGCAATTCCCTCAAACTAAGCCTTCAAAAAGGCTGACATTTGGAATGAGTGGAACTTTTGAGTATTACAGACACAATGATCAGCTTTCTAATTTGTAAAGCCAGTACAGTATCATTTTACTCATTTCATAGTCATGAATCCTAATAACTATTTCTCCAAAGCACTTTCAGGTTGCTGGGCAGCAGGTGGTAGTGAATGTTAGATGCTATTATTTATCTTGGGAAAATCCCATCAGCAATTCCATGCTGTGATATGTGGAAGAACAGCTTCCAATGAAGAAAAATTGCTTGTCACTTGCTGCTACGAGATGCGAGCGAGTTAAAGTGAAGCAGAAGCCATATTGCTGTGTTTTCTATTCCTTTCATCAAACACAAATAAAGCACCCCGTGGAAATCTGTGAGCTGGAGTGATAGGCATCTCTTGAATGCCTTTAATTGCTGCCAAAAATAGGCTGAAGCTTTCACCAAAGTTAACAGAGACTAAATTTCCATGGAAAGCATCATTTCCATGGGAAAAGCAGTTGGCTTTTTCATTAGTTAAAATAAAACCAGCAATGACACACTCTATCTCTGCTGGAAATCCTACTTTACCTTACAACAGAGATACACACAGATAATACTCTCTTCACATCAGTGGAGAATGCAAGAAGCTCAGAATGCCACCTTACCTCTAGCACTCC